CTGAGAGCTAGGACAGCAGGCAAGGTGCTCACCTTTCTTATGCTGACCATGGCTTGTCACGTGATCCACCAAACACCAGATATGGCCCTTTGCCACACATTGCCAGGTGACCTGGGTAGTTCCTGCACCACAGATTCCAAGCAATATAGCATTCCCTGGACCTCACATTGAACTGCAGCCAGGTTGACTGAGAATCCCATATGGGGGCCCCTCACCAAAAAATATGATGCTTATATGCAGTATTTTAAAAAGTTAACGTCCCTTCTCTGATTCAAGGTGAACAACTCTCAGCATTTTAAACACATAGAACTTAATAGGATGAGAACTAGGATGAGACCTAGCGCTGTAAGACTTTTGTGCAGGGGAGGAGGGGGTGAGCGGGCATTAAAATATCATTTATCTTGATTACAGAGTGTCTTGGGGCTTCTTTAAATATTACCCCAAGGTAGTGTCTGCTCTCAGCATAGTCCCAGGCTTGCTGAGCTCAACATTTAACTGGCTTCATTCACCTGCTCCTTAATTCTACTTCTTGCTTTTCTCCATTGGTGTTATACCTTTATGCATGTTTTCTTCATTTTTGGAGTCTCTCTGTGCTGCTGAGGAGGCATGGGGCTTAGAGTGTAAGGGCAAGGGCTCTGGAGCTGGGTTGCTCTGGTTCATTTTTTAAAAAATTTTTTTATTATGAAAAACCATGAGGTACAGTTATAGACTTACAAATTTTTGTGCTTAGGTTTCAGTTATACAATGATCAAGTACCCATCCCTCCACCAGTGCCCATTCTCCACCACCATGGGTCCCAGCATCCCTCCCACCCCCCCACCCCCCCATCCCACCCTGCCTCTATAGCAGGGCATTTCCCCTTGTTATCTCTCTCTTCTTTTGGGTCCTGTGTTTTGCAAGAGAGGCATTGAGTGGCAATCATGTTTGGTCTATAGTCTACTTTCAGCATGCTTCTCCCACCCTGGGAGGATCCTCACAACACCCTTTATTTGGTGCTCTCTTCTCTATCTGAGTTTCCTTTTCCCCTAGCACGTGTGGCTGACCTCCAAGTCATGGAGCAAAATTCCTGGTACTAATCTCAGGCATTCCTGGATGTTAGTCTCCCATTTTGTTGCTTTATGTTCCCCAAATGCAATCTTTCTGTGTCTATCCCGCTCTTTCTGACTCATTTTGCTTAACATGATACTTTCCATGTAGTACCACTTGTATGTAAATTTCATGACTTCATCTTTTCTATCAGCTACATAGTACTCCATTGTGTAAAAAGGCACGTGAGAAAATGCTCTACATCACTAATCATCAGAGAGATGCAGATCAAAACAACAATGAGATATCATTTCACACCCCAGAGACTGGCCCACATTCAAAAGAACAAAAGCAACCTGTGTTGGCGAGGATGTGGCGAGAAAGAGACCCTCCATCACTGCTGGTGGGAATGCCGACTGGTTCAACCCTTTTGGAAAACAGTATGGACGATTCTCAAAAAATTAGAATTTGACCTCCCATTTGACCCAGCAATACCACTCCTGGGAATATATCCCAGAGAGGCAAAAAAGTGTAGTCGAAGTGACATCTGCAATTGTTTGTTCATTGCAGCACTCTTTACAATAGCCAGAATCTGGAAAATACCTGAGTGCCCGAGAACAGATGACTGGTTAAAGAAACTCTGGTACATTTACACAATGGAGTGCTCTGGTTCATTTTTCATTTCCCCTCTTGCTGATTTCTTGCACCTCTGTTTTTTCATCTAACAAGTGGGTATAATGGTGTGACCTACCTCCTGGTCAACAGATTGTGATGAATTAATATGTAAATTGTGGGCATTAGGCCTTGGCACCTAGTCAGAGGCAATAAATGTTGACTCTCCTTGGCAGAGGAAAGAGAATTTTGGGGGCGGTAGGATAAGCCTCCTACCGCCCCCAAGCTCCTTGCCTCCACATATATCTGTACCCTTTTCCTACATTTTTTCTGCTCATCTCCTTGCCTTCTGGCAGCTAGTATTATAGCAGAATTCAATCCTACTACTTCCCTACTCCCCTTCAAGTCAGATCTGATCCTGTTTGTTCAGGGTTTGCTCCAGGTTCTCTGCTCAGGAATCACTCCTAGTGGGACTCATGGACCTTATGGGGTGCCAGGGATCGAGACTGGGCCAGCTGCTTGCAAGTCAAGCACCTTTCCCACTATCCTATCACTCCACCCCCCCCCCCCCCCCAGGCAGATGCAATTTTTCCTGCCTAAATGATTAGAAAAAAAAATTACCTTTGATTTTCATTGTTCAAAAATGTTGGCACTCTGGATAAGCTGGGCGTTCGTCCTATGCCGTTGTCTCTGCTGTTGTGTGCACATGGAATCTCAGTCATGAAATGCTTCAGAAACCATTGTCAAGCCGTGTCCGGAGGGGAACCCCTCCCCTAGCTGCTGTCGGAGTGTGGGGGCTGTGTGGCAGCAGTACCCCACGCCAGCTCACCCATCACCCTTGCATCTGTCCTTGTTTATTGTCTGTCCCGAGGACCCGCTCTCTCTTCCTGGAGCAGTGCTCCACTATCTCTCCCATCTCTGCTGTGCATCTTCCCCCTTATCTTCTGTCTCACCGTTGGCATTTCTCTGTCTTTTGCCGCAGCACACTGGGAGACGTTATCTTGACACTTGACTCGGGTTTCTGCACTATTGATGCTCCTGTTTTTCTGGTTTCAGAGTTCATTTAAAATCTCCTAATGTTGATTTGATTTCTCTTGAGTTCCTTAGTCTTATCTTTTTTTCTTATTTCAGGAGGGCTTTCACTGGTGTGAGCTGAGGCCTGCACCATGCCTGCTTCCTCTGAAACTCTGAATTGGAAACACTAGACATACTTGCTTCTTTTGAGACTTCTGATCTTTCTTCAACTTCTGGACAGTTCTTTCTATTTTTCTGCAATTTCCCTTCAGCTTCAAATAAAGCAATTTCATCAGTGCTTGTTTCTTTGTGCAGCAGGATTGCTTGGGGATGGGTGTGCTCAGCGATCACTCCTGGTGGTGCTCTCGGTGTCATCTTGGATGCCAGGCATCCAACCCAGCTCACTTGTAAGGCAAATGTCTCACCTTCTCTCTGGCCCCATCTTGACTGTTTTAAAGTAGTGTTACATATATTCACTCAGTTATTCAAGTAGTCTCCAACACTTTCTTCATCTCCAAATTCATTAAATAATAACTCCTCATTCCTCCTATCATTATTCCCCTCAACTACCATTATACCATTTTTTGGGGGGGGGTCATTTCTTGCTTTTAGAAAGCTTTAACATGCATATTCTTCTAGAGAGTCCTTGTCTTGGAGCATGTAACATTCATAGAGCGCATATGCAGTGAGCACACTCTCATTGCTAGACTGTGCTCCAGTTCTGGGGACACAGCTAGGAGCCAGAGTAGGGTTTTCTCTGCCTTCACAAGCTCTCTCCCAGGGGGGAGAGTGAGCAGTAAGTAAAGAAATGAGGTGATCCCAGGAAACCCCCGACAGGTCTAAATTCTGTGAAGTCAGTAGAATCCTTGAGGCAACAGGGGGTGCTTTTGGGGTACTACTTGGGCCAGCCCAATTCCAAAGGGCTTTTTTGAGCCAGTGATGGAGCACTGCCCCTGGATGTGTGCTGGGTATCTCTCCCACACACAGGACAGAGGGATGGCCCTTGGTGTTGGAGTAAAGACCCACCCAGAGGCACTCCCCCCTTCCTGAACTGGTGGCACTTAAAGAATGGCACCATGCCACTCATGGTTGAGCCATTGCGCCTTGGGAGAGAAGGTAGCGGGACAGGGCAGTCGTCAGAGGCCACGGGTGTAGACTGTGTTCCTTTTGCAATGAGAAGCCCCAGGCGGCTTTTTAAGCAGCAGTTAGGTGATATTGTGCTTGCCACGAGAAAATCACACCCAGCAGCTTTCTCCATTAACAAAAGGCTGTGGGAGGGGCACAGCAGGTAGGGCGTTTGCCTTGCACACGGCCAATAAGGATTCAATTCCCAGTATCCCATATGGTCTCCCAAGCACTGCCAGCAGTAATTCCTGAGTGCAAATCCAGGAGTAACCCCTGTGCATCGCCGGGTGTGACCCAAAAGAGAAAAAAAAAAGCAGTGGGAGCTGGAGAAATAGTAAAGTTGGCAGACTCAAGCTCTGTCAGGAGAGATTCCTGAGCACAGAGCCGGGAGTAAGCCCTGTACACTGTGTGCAGCCCCCAACAAGCGAACAATAATATAGATTTGAGTTGGAGAATGGTCTGCACACGAGCTCATAGTAACCTCGGGCAGCCCTTGCTCGCCAGCCTGCTCTGTGTGGGTTCCCCAGCCAGATTCCTGCAGCGGGGGCAGAGGTCACTGTGGTCCTGGCAGGTTTCTCTCAGAGAAACTCCCATGGAAAAGCTGATGGAGAGGATTAGGGATGAAGCATGTGAGAAGCTGAAAGACTGAGCTGTAGAGTCATATTCACTTTAGCCCTCGGGGATTTTGTTTCTGCAAATATTTAGAAAATGTGTTTAGAAAGTTGAAAGCTGCCAAATACTGAGTTCCTTGGGGCTAGAGAGATAATCTGTCGGGAGAGGAGACGGGTGTTCAAGTGCTTGTCTTGCACACCGCTCACCCAAGTTTGATTCAAAACACCACCAGGGGTCACTCCTGGGCACTGCCAAGTGTGGCCCAAATAAAAGCAAAACCAAGAATGTCGCAAAATCAAGAATTTTTAAAGAAAAAAACCTGGCTTTAGTGACATGTGAGTAATTTTTGTCCAAGGATGGGGACGAAATAGCCCACAGTGATTCTAATAATTGCAGGTAGGCAGAAACTGTTTCTAAAGATCCGATGTCAGTCCACACTTGGTACCCCATTCTAAGTGACCGTGACCCCCATGACCTTATCTTGGCCTAATTAAAACCAGCCCCTAATTAAAACCAACCATACCTCTTCAGACAGCCAGGTCCAAATGTTTCTTGAGCTATCCATGTTGCATTTGGAAACTACTTGGCATCATTCTAGGTCTTTATTTCAGAAAACATCATGGGATGGCACGGGCCCAAGTCACATTCCACAGAGCAGCTGAAAAACGGGACATTTGGCTCCCTGCCATCAGCCAGTGCCAACATAACCTGGGCGATTCTACCCAACTCTGCCGAAGATGAACCCACCTTACCGCCGGAGCCAGAGGTAAGCGGGCAGCCCCCCACCCTCCTACTTCGATGGCTTATGTTACTGCTTGTTCAGAAAGTTCTCATATTTGTAACTTGCTCGTCTGTGTTTTCAAGAGGAGATCAGTGACAACACAGAAGTGTTGCCTGGCAAGACGAGTCAGCTCTGTGTGCGCTGTTCTCATGCCGGGCCACTGCCCCGGGTGCACCGTGAACCTCCAAATGCGGGAGCTCCCAATTTTGGGAGAAATTTGGTTGAAATTCGGAGGCACCCATTCCAACAAGGGCTGTGATGCCTGTGGACGGGAGCAGTTACAATATATCGCGGCTGCTCTGGGTGGCACCTGCTGACGGTAGCTTCTGCCTCACCCGCATGCTTTAGAACCAGGCCAGGGTTTTGGGGGTGCTGGGCCCAGACTCCTCCCAAGCTTTGCGCTGCGGCCCAGTCCCAGGCTGTGGGGCCACTTCCTGTGGGTTGTGGGAGGAGAAGCCCCTGCAGATCTTAATGCCGAAGCAGGCTCCCCACAGTTCCAGGGCTCTGCCTCCTGCTTCCACATTCTCCTGTCCACGCTGGGAAGAAGCCAAATAACACCCTTCCTGTTGTCGGTTTTTCTCTGGGTTTGAACGAGTTTTTACATTTTTTTTTTCAGTCTTCTTTGGAATGCACATATTCTGTTGACCTGACCATGTGACTGGGGCTGGAACTTGCTTTTGAGCTATACACTAAAGATAGTTCTTAATGAAACTTACGTTTGCTAGAAAAATTGTGGCACCCTCATAAAATCTCCTTTGCGAGGTTGAAATCCCCTCTGGCTTCTTCAGTTCTTTGGTCTTGGCCGACCGTGGAAAAGTTCCTCCTCCATTCCCATGGCCTTCATCTCTGCAGGCCATGGGTGGCTCAGCTCTGGCCAATGCAGCAGCGCCGTTCTCTCCTTGGGGGTCATGCTAGCTCAGGAAGGTGCCTAGGGTGAGGTTTTGCTTCTATGTGTACCTCGAGGTTCCAGGTTCCAGTTGCAAAGGCTTACAGCAGAGATAGGGATAAATTTGGAGGGAATTGGCATCTGAGGAAATGGAAGGAGTACCAGGACCACAGTGCCCCTTTGAGAGACTCCAGTGGTGGGAGACAGGATCTCTGGCTGCTGTAAAGTTGAAAAAAAAATGCATTTCCTTTTGCTTTCCTGGAAAAGAACTTGTGAGGGATTCATCCCATAATAAACTTCTTTTAGGTCTCACTCTGAAGAGCAGCTCAGAGTAGCAAAGTGACTTCTTTGATCTTCAGAGATGATTTTGTAGAGCTGCTGTCTCCACAGCGGTCCCACAGAACCTGCCAAGGGCTGTAGCATCAGAAGCTTACCTTCTGAGGGCCAGATGCTGGGGTCTGACTAGCCTCATTCTGCGAATCCTTCTTAATGTTTCTTCTACTTATCCCAGGGCTAGAGAGGTCTCCCAAAACTTTGAGGTTTGAAAGGCCACGTCTGTTCTTCCTATGAGATTGCAGCCCCCTTTGCTTTGCCTTCCAGAGGAGAGCATATACTATGCATAAAAAATAGCTAGTACTGGGGCTGGAGCAATAGCACAGTGGGTAGGGCGTTTGCCTTGCACGTGGTCGACCCGTGTTTGATTCCCAGCATCCTGTGTGGTTCCCCGAGGACCGCCAGGAGTGATTCCTGAGTGCAAAACAGGAGTAAACCCTGTGCATGCATTGCCGGGTGTGATGCAAAAAGTGAAACAAAACAAACAAACAAAAAAACCCAAAAAACACTAGTTCTTCCATCACCCACTACTCCTCCCCCCCGACCCCCCCTCCACACACACATACCTTGCCTCTATGGCAGGGGCGTTTCTTCTTTGTCTCTGTCTCTCTCTTTCTCTTCCTCTCCTTCTGGGCATTGTGGTTTGCAATATTGACACTGAAAGGTTATGAAGAATATCCCTTTACCTACTTTCAGTACTCAGATCTTGTCCAGCCTGGGGACATTGGTGCTGGGAAATGTACACTGGTGGAGGGATGGGTGTTGGAATACTGTGTGACTCAAATCTAATCATAAACAGCTTTGTAAGGGCCTATCTCACAGTGACTCAATTAAAAAATTAAAAAAAAATAGTTCTTGAGGGTTGGAGTGATAGTACAGCAGGTATGCTGTTTGCCATTGCCAGCCCACCAGCAAACCGTGAGATCCTGCAGGTTTAGATGCTCCATCCCACATGGATGTCTCCAGTCTCCTCCCTGGAAATGCTCATCAGAAGTCTAGGTTAACAGACTTCTGACAAGTCAGCGACATTGAGGGCTCCCGCATCACTCCTTAGGTACCTTGAATTTCCTAGAGTGGCTCACAGTGTTCCTATCCCTAGCACCCGGGTCCAATCCCTAGCATTCCATATGATCTCCCAGCACTTCTAGGAATGATTCCTGAGTGCAGAGACAGGAATAACCCCGCACTGCTGGATGTGCGTCTCCCCCCGCCCACATCCCCCATACCCCCCAAGACCCCCAAGACTAGTTCAGGGGCTGGGAGAGAAAAGACTGGGCTGGGGTTAAGGTACTTGTTTTACATACTTCTTACCCTGGTTCTATCCCTGACACCACATATGGCCCATTGAGCCTTATCAGGTCACATCAGTAAGGCCAGGAATAACCCCTGAACATTGCTGGGTGTGACCCACTCCACTCCTCCCCTCAAAAAAAGAAGAAAGAGGTAACTCGTTCCAAATTCAACTTTGAAACAATGCTTTGGGGCCAGAGAGATAGTATAGCAGGTAAGCACTTGCCATATGCATGCTGCCATCGTGGGTTCGATCCCCAGCATCACACATGGTCCCCTCAGCCTGCCAGGACTGATTCTTGAGCACAGAGCCAGGTATGGCCCCAAAACAAACAAACAAACAAACAAACAAACAAACAAACACTTTGAAGGAGAACAGACCAGAGAAAACTTTTCCCCTTAATTTAAGAGCACTTATTAATCTCTGGATGCCAATTTTGCCCTTAAACCTGTCTTCAGAGCAATATAAGACTGTGATTCCTTAATTCTTCACAGTTGGGAGAGAGAGCTATGGACCGGGATAAGGTTTTGATGGTTTTCTGAGAAAGGAGAATTAGAGTTCTTTTTCAGAAACACCCCTCAATTTTTTTTCCAGTGACAACTGCTTAGTGATTCTTATAACCCAAACAGCAGTTGTGGGTGAGACACTATTTTTATTTTAGACCATTGTGCTTTGTCACTTTTTGTCCCTTAAAAATTGAAGCTAGCAACTTCTTCCTAATAGTTTTTCTGTCAGGAAAAAAAGGAAAATATTTCCATTGCTTTTCTTTGGTACATTTTGGAAAAATAACTCAAGATAAAATAAAAATATTTTTTTATGAGACGTTTTCTTAATGCCCTTGAAGCGGAATTAATTTTAAGAATTGTAGTACTTTAGCTAAAAGCAAAACATTTTCTTCTGGTTTCTTAGTTTCGATTGCTTCTGATGTTCCACGAGCAATTATTAGAATATAAAAGATATGTGTGGGATTTTCAGAGGATGCTTCCCCAAGTGGTGCTCAGGAGATTTGAGGGTCCCTTCCTGTGGCCAAAGGGGCCAGCAGTTCAATGCAGGGGCCCTACAGTGCTGGAGATTACCCAGGCCATCCCAGTGGGGATCAGCTTGGTTAACCAAAGAGGGGGACCATGTGGTGCTGGGGGGATTAACCCGTGGTCAGAGACATTCTTGGTAACTTGTCCTTGTACTGTCTCTCTGATAGTGAGTTATTTTTTTTTAACACCCTGACATTGGAACATCCCACTGGTAGCTCACACTTGAACGTGGTTTAAATAATACCAATTGTATAGTATTAACATGTGTTAAATATGACCAAGTGGTAAACTCGTCTGTTTCTCACAACCACTGATCCTGCAATTTGGCAGGTTCTTCCAGCCCACTGGGAGATGGTGTAGGTTTAGATGCTCTGTCCCACATGGCAGCCCTTGCCCTGGAGCCGCTGATCACAGATCCAGGTTAACAGACTTCTGACCAGTCAGCTACATTGGAGGGCTCTCGCGACTCTCCTTAGGTACCATGAACTTGCTAGAGTGGCTCACAATGCTCCAAGAGACTCTTACTGGGACACAGTTGGGGAGCAGGGGACAGGAAGAGGCCCCGAACATCCCCCCCATAGTACATCCGTGTGTTCATCCTGAGGTCTCTGAACCTGATCTAGGGCTTCATTACAGAGATGTTTGACCCAGTAATTTAATAACGGGGCTGGGGAGATGGTGCAATGGGCAGTGACCTTGCTTTGCACACAGCTGACCCTGGTGTCACCACCTCCACCATGTATGGTCTCCCAAGCACTCCCAGAGCACAGAGCCAAGACTAGGACCCCCCTCCCCGTCCCAAAAACAAAATCCAAACCAAACAGAAATACTTGGCAGTTGGTGGTTGAATTCCATTTCTAGCCAGTTTCCCTTCCAGGAGGTCAGGGATTGGGCTTTCCAATTTTAACTCAATCACTTTGTTGGTTCCCCTAGCAATAAGCCTTACTCAAGGAGAGATTTAAAAAATAACAACCCCCCCCCAAAAAAAAAACTCATTTGCATTTCAAAAGATGCCTTTATCTCTTAGGAAATGCCCAGGTGTTCTAGAGCTCTATGCCAGAATGGGGCTGTGTGTGTGTGTGTGTGTGTGATCTTATAAATCACATGGTCACACTGCTCTCTCCTAGTCCTGGCTTACCATGAAAAGAACTGAATAGATGGGAATTGAAAGCATTTTCAAGCACAGTCCATTTAATTTTCAGCAAAATAAGACTCAAAGACTGCTGTGTGTTTTTACACCACAAATTAGAGGAGAACAGCGGTTGGCTCTGTTATCAAATTCAGTGATCTTAAAATTTTTTATTCTGCTGGGGCTGGCTCTGGCTAAATGTGAAGCTGAGCTATTCTTTCATCATCAAGTGAGTTGTGACCTTGGTTTTTTATCCATGTACTAAACAATTTTTCAGCTCTTTTAACACGGTTTGAAATAATAAAAAGGTTTTGC